GTTATTTTTAATACTTTGTGTTTACTGAATTTTCTGCAGTGATGCTGTGGTTATTTATTTTATTATGATGAGAAAATAGTATATTATTTTAATTTTCCATTTATCCGCAAATGTATTCCCCTTCTTAGCTTACATTGTCTGTTATAATCAACCATTATCCAAAAAGCCTGATCTGGTTGATTGTGGGCTATTAGCTACCATTATAACTCCCATCCCACAGTTTTAAGAACTTCAGGTTAGGAGTGAAGTTTGTCCTGAGTTTTCCACTAGATATATCTGTAAGCTAACATTTAGACAGCTTTCAAGCTCTCTTCTTTCACAAATTGTCACCAGTGACTCTTACACACCACTATTGTAAAGTAAAAAACCAAACCAAACCCACTGTCATCAAGTTGATTCTGATTCATAGCAACTGTGTAGACATAGTGAAACTGACCCGTAGGGTTTCCAAGTTTGTAAATCTTTAGGGAAGCAGGCTGCCTTACCTTCCCCCCTCGAAGCAGCTGATAGTTTGACTCTTCAGATTTAAACCATTCCTTAATGAATGTGACCACTTGCCATCGACTCGACTTCAACTCATAATGACTTCATGTTTGTCAAAGTACAACTGTGCTCCCTAGAGTTTTCAATGGCTGATTTTTCAGAAGTAGATCACCAGTCCTTTCTTTCAAGATGCCTCTGGTAGATTTTAGCTTCAACCTTTTAATTAGTAACTTGAGTACATTAATTATTTGTACTAGCCAGGGACTCAATGAATGTGAAGTGCTTTATAAATATTATTATATTTATATAATTTTAGACTTATAGTAAGTAAATGCACATATTTTACCTGTGTCTAGAAAGTACTGTTATTGGAAAGAACTCTCTCACTTTGTAGTGTACAACAAAGAATAAGAGAAATAGGTTTATAATTACTTCTAAGTCATCTTTTCCTTTAGTTTTATTATTTGATTTGAAATCATGATTTAAAAGCAAATAATTTCTGTGTTTGCCTAAGGAGGTAGGAGCTCTGGTGGTGTAGTGCCTAAGGCATTTGATTGCTAACCAGAAGGCTGGCAGTTCAAACCTACCAGCCATTCCTCAGAAGGAAGTTTGGGCAATCTACTTCTGTAGAGATAACTCAACTCATTGTCCTCGAGTCAGATCCGACACATAGCGACCACTCCTTGGGTTTCTGAGGCAGTATCACTACAGAAGTAAGTTGCCCAGCCTTCCTTCCAAGGAGTGGCTGATGAGTTTGAACCACCAGCCTTCTGGTTAGCAGTCAAATGCCTCAGGCACTATGTCACCAGAGCTCCTTCCGTAGAGATACCACCTTGGAAACCCAAGGAGGGGTCACTATGAGTCGAATTGACTCCACGGCAGTGAGTTTTTGAGTCAACGTATTATTACTTTTAAAATGTATTTATTTCTAAGAAGTTATGAACTATAAATAAAACTTTCACCATGGAACATCTTATTTCTATAGAGTAAAATTTTTTTAATCCCATAATGGGTTTTCTACTCATTGTCATAATGTTTTCTTCAAAATATAAGTTATATTACTTCAAATTATCAAATCATAATGTAAAACATTAGAAATTTTTAAATGCTTAATATTTTATATTTATGTATAATGATATTAGGAGCTCTGGTGGCATAGTGCCTAAGGCATTTGACTTCTTATCAGAAGGCAGATGGTTCAAACCCACCAGCCACTCCTCAGAAGGAAGACTGGGCAATCTACTTCATAATGATTTGTTGTTGTTGTTGTTATGTGCCATCCAGTCGGACCCGACTCATAGCGACCCCTCCTTGGGTTTCCGAGGCAGTGTCACTACAGAAGTAGATTGCCCAACCTTCCTTCTGAGGAATGGCTGGTGGTTTGAACCGCCAGCCTTCTGGTTAGTAGTCACGTGCCTTAGGCACTAAACTACCAGAGCTTCCTCTGTAATGATACTGCCTCAGGAACCCAGGAAGGGGTTGCTGTGAGTCGGATCTGACTCCATGGAAATGAGTTATAATGATATTAGTTTTAATTTTTGTTTTTAAAACTAATGCTATGGAAGAAATGTCATCTTTATCTTTTTCTCTTAAAGTTTTATTGGACATTCATTGGGCAATTTAATAATCCGTTCAGTGCTTACAAGGCCAAGATTTAAATATTACCTCAACAAACTTCATACTTTTCTGTCTCTTTCTGGACCTCATCTTGGTACACTCTACAATAGCAGTGCTCTTGTTAACACAGGTAATAAGTTTTATTTACTATATAAAATACATAGCATAATACTATAGAGAGAAAATTTAAATATAAATTTAATATTTTCTGTTTATTTTGGCACAAACTTGTCAGACATTTACAATTTCATGAAACAGAAGATGTAGGTATTTTTATGTTTTGTCGTGCATATGAACTAAACTGATAAGTTATTTCAGAAAATGAATATGCTCTTATTGAGATGGTAGTTGTAAAATGTCACACCTGAGAGTTGTTTTTTTTTTTTTTTTCAATTAAACTGCCACTAAGTAGTTTTAGTAAAATGTTTATTCTATAAACAGGCTATTTAATCATTTCATTAGTTGAACAGAGATCAAACAATTATCTATCTTTAACATCAGATTATAAAATGACAAAATATTCTATATAAAATCTTAACTCTTAGATTTTAGTTTTAGTTAATAACAAAGGCATAATATGAGAAAAGAAATTCCAGAATTTCTAAAGAAATTCAAATGAAAATTAAGCCTCTAATCCTGATTAGAATAAATAGTCTCATTGTGAAATATTTGTAACTTGATTTCATTTTTGTTCAGCATTTTTTGTTAGTATTTTTTTAATAGTTTGTGGTTTAGTCATTTGATTCCCATTGTGAGAATAAATTAGATTTCATTCTGTCTATTTCCAATTAGCTCTGAAACTTACATTTCCATTTTCTTTTCTACTGACTTTCATTGACAAACAAACCACACCATTTTCCTTTGTATCTCATTTCAAATTGGTGACATTCAGAATACATCTGGGTATAGTTTCTTAAAGAGGGTATGAGAAAAATGAAACCTATAAATAATACAAGGCAGTATTCAATATGAATAGGATACAATACTTTTAATTTCTCTCTTCACTAAACCTTTTCCTATATATGCTTACAACTATCAGATTTTATCAGTTAGAAGTTCATTTTTTTTCTTTTCGTTTTCCTTTCTTTCCTTTCCGACCCTGCTTCTCTCTGTAATCTTAGTAGGAGTGAACATGGAAATGAAAATTCTACAATTTCAGAAACCATTTCCAGAACAATTGAGATTCCATTTAAGTTCCTTAAGAGGAAGATGCATTTGAATATGGGTAACTGATAATATAAAAAAGTAGAATTAAATATGAAACTTAAATTATATTCAACTATTACTAGAAAATATTAATCAGTTATTCAAAGAGTTGGTTCTTATACAATTAATCTACCATGACTTGACTGTAATTATTTATAATTTGGATCTGCTACCCTTACTTAAAGGTTTTCCCTGTCTGCTAATTTACAGTTCAAATAATCATATCTAAAGGCACAATTTGCCCAGATTTGTTCTTTGTATACCATTATCTGTTTCATTACTGAATGAGAGAGAAATAATAAGCCCTCTATTACCCACTGTTAACTTACTTAATCTATGTGTATCTGTGTACACTTATATTTGCTATCAGAAAATGGAAATATTTTCAAATAGATTTTTTAATTGGCCAACAAAATGCTAATTTGAGAGATGTCATTTTTTAAATGAAGTATATATTAGTATTAAGTACCTTGACATATATTATACATTTTCAGTTATAATCACAGATCATTTATAATTTTCTAGGTCTCTGGTTTATGCAGAAATGGAAAAAATCAGGTTCTCTTTTGCAACTGACATGTCGAGATCATTCAGACCCTCGCCAAACTTTCTTATACAAGCTTAGTAAGAAAGCAGGTAAGTATTAAAAATGATTCAGAAAATATGCACATGGAAACATTTTCTTAAATACACCTTTGGAAAGTAAATTATCAACATGCCAATTATCTGATGATTGTAAACTATCATCCTATTATTTCTGAATGATGAAATGATAGAATCACAATTAAGATTGAGCAGTTGATAAGTCTGTAGGTTTGTTTTTTATTTCTTGTTTTTTTTCCTATATGATTGTACTAATCTTTGATGATCTGAACAGCTACTAAGAAATTGCCCCAAACATTTTTGCATTTTTAGTTTAGTGTCAGTTATAAATTGGTTTCTGTTTTTTAACCAGCCTTCTGCATGTCCTAGCCCTCTGTCCTTGCTGCCCCCCCATCTCAATTCTCCACCCTCTGTACAAACTACTAACTATTTTTTCACCTTTCTATGCTGGCGGTTCAAACCCACCAGCCACTCCTCGGAAGGAAGGTTGGACAATCCTACTTCTGTAGTGATACTGCCTCGGAAACCCAAGGAGGGGTTGCTATGAGTTGGGTTTGACTCGAGGGCACATAACAACAACAACAATTCTGGGGCTATCAAGCATTTCTGCAAAATATCAGTAACTAACTCAATAGATATTGCTTCTCCAAATTCAATGCTCTTTTTGAAGCCTAGGTTAAAGCCAAGGATTGCCAACTGAATCACAAACAATAAATGTTACCCTAGCCTCTGGAACACACAGTCTCTTTGTCTGAATCATCTTGCTGTAATAAGAATAGAAATAGGCATATAGGAATCATAAAACCAACTACTTGTTCTTTAATTCCTGTCATGCTTTACTACATGCCTCTGCAGTCACATGCTCTCCAGATACCCAAGTAAATATTGCTTTGTGCCATCTCCCCCAACTCATCTTCACACTAATGTCCTCCCAGAATATTATTTCCATTGTGTCCTTTGACGTCTCTATCATGAGGGGAACAGACTGCATGCATCTTTAATCTCTTAAATAAGTACTATCACCACTTTTTGTGAAAATAAAGTCATAACTGAAACCTAGATTTTTCTCACCCTGTTTCTCCTAACTGTAGAGCAGAAGTTGACAAACTTTCTCTAACAGGCCAGATAGTAAATATTTTGGCTCTATGGGACACATAGTCTCTCACAACTATACTGCAATACCATTATAGCACAGAAACAACAATAGACAGTATATAAACAAATGAACAAAACTGTGTTCCATGAAACTTCATATACAAAAAGATGCAGCAGTTTAGATCCCACCAGCCATAGTTTGCTGATCCCTGCTAGAGAAGCTCAGTTTCTCACTAAGTACCACCTGGAGTCAGGGAAATAGTAGTCTTGCTTTCTATTTCCAATTGCAATCATTGCTTCTGCACTGTCTTATAAATCCACTTCCTTTGAGGCTTGTATCATAGAGGCATCATCTTTAGCCTCCTTTAATATAATGATTTCCTGGTTACTGTTCACATACTCAATGAAAACTCTGATATAGAGGCTTCTTCGTTAAAAAAATATTTATTGCATGATTATTCTTGGGAAAAGATACTCGTCTTTTCTTTTTTGTTCTTAATCCCAGCATCATTTTTGGTAATTTAGGAGTCAATCTTTTGAAAGATTCATCAATCATTATAGGTTTATAGTTCCTTTCTCAATTCCAGTGACCTTTCTTTCCACTCCACTTTGAACACACACCCCTGGCTACACCACACCCCTGAGATTTCAAGCAGTATTCCACTCTCTGACTACTACATCTTCTCATTTGTCTCTCACTACTACCCTCACCTGCTTTTTAGATTCAATTTAGAATCCCTACTCCCTTTTTCTTACATTTACCGTGTATTTCATAGTTTAACTTCCTTTCTGATCCATTTCAGACTGCATGAATTATCACTTTAATCATTTGTATGTTGTTATGTCTTGCCCTTCCATCACAGTCATCTGTTGTTGTTTGTTGTTATGTGCCATCGAGTCGGATCTGACTCACAGCGACCCCTCCTTGGGTTTCCGAGGCAGTATCACTATGGAAGTAGATTGTCCAACCTTCCTTCCGAGGAGTGGCTGGTGGATTTGAACACCAGCCTTCTAGTTAGCAGTCAAGTGCCTTAGGCGCTATGCTACCAGAGCTCCTTAGCAAACCTATATTACTGTTTCTATAAACCACATAGACACACAGATCCATACCACTGTAGATCTATGAAGTCACCATCTTGTTATCTCTAGTCAGCTTTCTGTCAAATTTCCTTAGAAGCTTTTTAAATTTTTCACCTCTGCTACCTTCACTTCCTAAAAAAGACTTTGCTTCTTACTTTTATCTGTGAAACTCAAGGCCATCAAGCTAGAACTTTCTACTTCCTTTTTTTCTACTTACAAATATTAGTATACCTCTGCTTTCCTTTTAGTTCAGTGAAAGATACATTTTTGATCCAAAGATAACTCCCCCTTCACACACTCCCTACCTTGCAACCCATTCTTTGGTATTTACATCTTCAGATTCTCCCTTTGCAATAACTAATCCCTTGACGTAAGGTTACTCTAGTTTCGGCCATGTTAAACAGTAGTAATATGGTGGTAGTAATGGTGGTGGTGTGATAGTAAGAGGCAGTGGGAGTTTAGTGGTAGAATTCTCACCCTCCATGTAGGAAACGTGGGTTTGATTCCTTATCATTATACCTCATGCACAACCACCACCCATCTGTCAGTGGAGGCTTCTATGTTGCTATGATGCTTAATAGGTGTCAGTGGAGCTTCTAGACTAAAACTAGGAAGAAAGGCCTGGCAGTCTGCTTCCCTCATCTGAACAGATATTTGCATTAGTAAGTCTATAATTATTAAGAGGTATGAGTAAACCTTTTGTACTTGAGGTATCCCTTAAGGATTAATGAAAACTTTGCTTTCCAAATTATTTTTTTATTTATTTTACCTTATTATGCATGACAAAACTCTTACTTCCCCTCTGACTGCACCAGTATAATAATAGGTGTTTTGGTCACCTAGTGCCACTCTAACAGAAATATACCATAAATGGGATGGCTTTAACAAATAGGAGTTTATTCTCTTACAGTTTGCAGGCTTTAAGTCCGAGTTCAAAGAGCCAGGCTTTAGGGGCTGGGTAAAAGCCCCTCACCCTTGGGCTTCAGCTCTGCCTCCTGCTCTCAACCCACTGAAGCTAGAGGCTTTTCTTCAGTCAGACAGCTGCTGACTGCTGAGGCTGACAAACCCAAGGTTGACAAGTAAAAGACACAGTCCCAATGTTGCCAAACAACACGGCAGGCCATTAATTCAAGTCCATTAATAGTCACAGAGTTGGCAGAGCATGGCAGGCAGCTGAACGACGACTCAGGTACATGCAGGGTTCAAATGTGCCATAAGCTGGAGACCATTATAAAGCTGCTTCTTATATATATATACTGGAAGCACACCACATCCCTGAGCCAGCCACTTAGCTGCTTGTGGTAGATCCCATGGAGTTGATTGCCAGTCTCATCATGGAGAATAACTACCACCAGCTGCCCAGCCACTCAACCAGGCCCAGCCAAGTTGACACACAACTTTAACAACCACACTAGGTAAAAACCAAACAAAAAGTCACAGATAGGTATTAATCCTAACTCAAACACTGAGTAGATATATGGTCTTGAGCAAATTACTTAATGTTAATAAGATTTAATTTGTAAAATCAGAATTATAGTATTTACCTTACAAGATTATTGTAAGGATTAAATGAGATAAAGCATGTAAAGCAATTAACATTCTATACAGAACAAAATTCAGTAAATATTATATGGTAATACTAGCTCAAAATCAAGAGCTGCCTAAACTAAAGTATGCTATTATTATACATTATAGAAATTGACTTTCAAACTAACATTGTGTATCTATTTTAGGACATTTTTGAGAATCACCTCATCTAAATATCAAATAACTACCTAAAAAATTACTCAAGTTATTTATTAAATAACTTGAGTTTTTTAATAAATATTTATTAAAATTGTTACATGTTTTAAGATTTCTACCTTTACAGAGATATTAATTTATTAAATTATTAAATTAAATTATTAATATTAATATTAATTTATTAATATATACCATACAAGTCATATTGAAAAATAAAATATGAAAGAGTACTATTTTCTAATAATCATGACTAATGCACATAAGTTACATTTTTTCTCTTATTGCCCGCTCCCCAGATAGTGCAATATTCCTTTATTTCTTTTTTTGGTTATTGTTGCTGTGTGATTGTGAATTACATGGTGTATTTTTTGTCCATTTGCATTTACTTTTATGATGGTTATTCAAGTGTGATTTTTGTCTAACTGAGTCAAAGACAACAACAGTCCCCATACGACACAGCTACACACACACTTCCTGCATCTTCACTTTGTGAGAGTCACCACTTCCTTCTCCACCAATGGTCCAGTGATAACCACCAGAAGAGCCTGACTCACCCTTAGCTGCTCTTCACAAAGTTAACAGAGATCTAAATACAACAACGTCACAATGTCTCAGAGACAACAGACCATTGCAGTCCACACAAAGAAGCAAGATAAAGTAGTAGAAACAAGGAAGCAGGATACAGATCCAGAACACATCCCTAAGAAAGAAGCAGCATTGGAACTCCTTGATAAGGAATTCAAAAGAATTATATTTAGGTATGTTCTAAGGATTGAGAAACAGATCCAGGAAAACACAGGCAAAACCCTAGAAGAATTTTGGAAGAAAATACAAGAACAAAATGACAAAATAAATGAAAAATTAGATATGATTATAAATCTACAGATAGAAATACAGAAGATTAATACTAAATAGTCAGAAATAGATAACATATTGAAAGGACAAAGGAGTAGAATTGATGCAGTGGAAGACAGAATTAATGAGATTGAAGACAAATACCTTAATACTTTTTGATAAAAGGATCAATCAGAAAAAAAATGAAAACAAAATGAAGAAAACCTAAGGTTTATGTCTGATACCATCAAAACAAATAACCTACATGTCATTAGAATTCT